AAATACAATAGAATTTCGTTATTATTCTATGCGTAATCAAAAAACGACAATAAAATATTCACAGTAGATATTTACAGTTTTTGGATTTTTTGTTTCGCTTTGCTTTTCTCTTTAGGTGTGTGTTTAGCGAAACGATGAAAAGTAGAAAAATGTTTTCTTAAATAAGATTTTTTGATTTAGGTTACAGAAAAAAAATTCGTTAGAAAAGATTTATTAGTAGAAAGACTAGAAAAACTTTGAAAATAAAACAATATTAAAAAGTAGAAAAAAACATTTACCCAGCTCGAAGGAGACCGGGTCTTCGTCCCGAGTTGGATAAATACTATGGTTGAAGATAGAATGTGCTTCAATTCTAGTGGCAAATAGTCTCCAAGAAGATATCGAACTCATAACAGAATGATTGCGTACTATAATAGAAAATGTAAAGCCTGATAGAGATTTAACAGGTCTGTATAGGCGACAATACTGCCTTTAGCAGCAGAAGTCGTATAGACGCCACTTGATACGTTAAACCTATTGATTCAGATGAATCTACATCGATTAAAAAGTACATCATATAATAGAGAAAAAGTGTGTCACAGCGTTACGTTTTTTTTTGAATTTGATTTTTGAATAATGAGAGCTAGGAAAACCTTTTTTTACCATTGAAAAGCTTTTTTCATGCTCTACAAAGTTGGTTCCAAGCCTATTTTAATTGGAGATCATCGTTCGCAGGGAATTAAACGATAAGTGAGAGCGTTGGAAACTCAGGGGCCTTTTACGTCACAGTGTTACGTGACTATAAACCATTTCTGTAAACTATAGAGTTCAAGCAAGAAACATCAAATTTATAGTCCATATAGCACTCGTCGAGCTGCGTCGAATGGCGTTTGAATGAACTTTTCAGCTATCATAGTTTTTGAGATATTTCAAAAACAATTTGCCAAAACGTCACAGCGTTACGCTTGGACAAGCCGTAAAGCGCTCTACGGGTGATGCAAAATACCGCTCCATGGTCAATTTTTTATGCTGAATTTTATGGAAGGGTCTAAAAGCATTTTTGAAATGAAAAAAAAATCATTAATAAGGAGAGTCTGGAATTCTGGGGTATTTTTGTGGAAAAGTAGATATATAGGCTGCATTTCATCAGCGAAACTAACCACCAATCGCTAATATCTTAAAATATATTTTCACTTTGATTACAATATCTTCTGACAACTGAGATTGCTGAAAACTGTCAGCCAGTTTTTTTCGAAAAAACTTCGAAAAACAATGTACATCAAAACGAACTTCATTTAAACGAAAATGTGGTGACTTGTATTGATCGGGTGTGGGGTGTTGGTATGATACGAAAGCGAAAACCCACACCCTCTAGTAGCATAATCAAAATAAAGTCAAAGAAACGAAACTGTAAAATATCACGCTGATATAATTTAAGTTTATACCAAGGAAATGTGAAATCGAAATTGTTGCAATTCTATCCTAAAAAACAACCGATCGTGAACAACAAATACTGTTTCCCGTATGTATATTTCTTTTTCTCTTTGAATATAAGAGTGACATATCTATCAATAAAAAAAAAGGAAGGAAAATGAACACACCTAGTCTTAGTTGAATATTGATTGATGAATTAATGTGATAGTTGTTGAATTGGTAATCATTCTAATTCCTCGCATGAGATCGAATCAATACTGGCCAATATTGTTTCTCTCCTGTATTGTGTTATTCTTGCTCATTTGAAGAAATAGAAAACACGTGACTTGTTTACAATGGAAAGAAAAAGAAATCTAATTTCTTGTGTTAAATAGTTGCTTTTAATCTCAAAAGAATTTGTTCTTCATTCAAAATCATATACGAATAATATAAAAAATATATATGTTCATTTTTGGATGAACATACAAGGGGGAAAAGCGGATCCCGTCCGTTCGGGATACACAGGATACAGAGGATACCATCACAATCCAGAGGATACGGTGGTGATACAACGACAATCCGAAGGATACGGTTTGCAATTCAGAGGATATGTACAACAATATGCAGATAAAACTTGATTTAATGAAGAATATACGAAATTCACATCATTTATCAATAGAGATGAATATTGGTTTAGCTCTAGGAATGATTTTATATCAATGTCAACATTTTTAAAGAATTTCTTTACGCAATCTTTGGTTAAGGATACTGCCTGATGCTCTGTAATCGATTTTAATTTTAAAAAACTAAAGCTATTTAAGTAGTGTGATGTTTCATTCTTTATATTCTAACGTTCAATCATATGTATTTAATGCAGACGGACGAATTGAATGTTAGAGAGCGAGAAAAATAACAATTTCTATCTATCTTTCTCATGAACAATTTTTTCGTTACATATCATCCTATCAAACTATTGTAACATCTTATTTCTATTTTTTTCGACCATGCCACCAACAACATTGAACATGGACATTACAGTCCTTCCTCCAGACGTATTATCACTATATGATGAATCTTTCTATGAATTAGTTCGTAAACTAGCTGGTCCCATAGAAGCCGACTTACTTGAACTACAAGCAATTCGTAGTGCTTATTCATTGATTCATACTGAGGATATATTTGATATATTGAAGTATGAATGCAAAGCATTAGATCAAATTTAAAACGGTGCTTGCCTTCTATTGGATGATAATCGATACATCATCAAACCTGGCTATAAAAGTAATTAACGTTATTTCACTCAATTGCTCAATGTTAAAAACCACGAGCACTTGAAAACAATTGCACTTTGAATTAAATCAAAGCAAACGTCAAACGATGATAATAATAGTAATAATATTACATTAGCATCTCAACCATCAGCACAAATTCTACCTACCTCTTCACCATTATCGTCAACTACGGTAACAGGAACAAAAGGTTGGTATATGCAAATATTTGGTACAATAATTTATCCAATTTTAGTTACATATATTTTGAAGTTACTTTGTTTTTAGAATATTTTAGAAGAGAGTATTGAGTACAGTCTTGATTTTTACTTTATGCTATTCTTATAATGAATCTTGTGTGTTAGAGCAACTGTCATATATTCTATTGTGATCTGTAATGTTTTTCACTATGTATAAAATATATGATTCCGCACATATTTTTTAGATATATCATCTATGAGATTTTATTTTTAGCGCAGCTGCACACCTATAAGACTTGAATTCAGACATATCTATGTAACATTCTAATGAAGGACGGATAATACAAGATTTTTTTATAAGAAATAAGTACTAGGAGCCATGAGTAACAGAGGAGATTCTACTTTTAGTCACGGTCATTTTGGAACAAATAATTTTCAATAATGCTAGCTTCAGATGTTATTTTTTAGAAATAATGAGGACTGTTTGCATCTGCAAGTGCTCATGCTGATTCTGGATTATTTAAGTATGATAGTAGAATGTTAGTGAGATTGTCACAGATTCTGTTTGTTTACTTCAGTAATTAACTATTAAATCGAATAATTTCTGCCCTTCAACATCGTAAATTTTGTGCAGTTTACAAGTAGTGAATCTTCGTACACCCTTGTTTTCTTTTTCCTTATTTTTCTCTTTTAAAAACTTATGCAATCTTGTTTGCATAATAATAAAATGAAACCAAACGATAGTCTTCTTTTTAACTATTAACATTTTAAATTCTCCTCAATATAATACACTAATAACTTCTGATACGTTGGAAGAGAATAAAAATTCTTTTCTCAAAACCTTGATCAATAACATTACGAGTAACAGCAAAAAGTCGAAAAACAATTATCGATATAATACAAAAGTGCAAAATTTTGCTCAAGCATTATATATTATGGGCGGATGCAAAACAAACGAATATATTCGTCTAAATCTTCCAGGTGCAGTACCATCGATTACTTCGATTGATGGTTCTATTACAAAAGCTGGTGGAAAGATCATTGAAGATGAATTTCGATATGATGCTCTTAGGGATCTCCAAACTTCAAACAATTATCAACTAGCTGTCTGTTCTGAGGATTGTACAGGCGTGATCCAGAAGGTGGTATATGATGCATCTACTAATTCATTCATCAGATTCTCAACTCCACTCGATCATGGAGTACCTGTTACACAATTTTTTCAAACTGATTCGTATGATCAATTGAAAGAGTAATTTAAGAATGAGGAGAAGTCAAATCTTTTAAACGTTCATATGTTAGAACTTCTTACAATATCTAAATCTTCGTCGACTTCATTTCTTTTAGGAGCTTACGGAATTACAAGAAAATTTAACTCTATTGATGTTCTTCGTCGTTGGCTGTGAATCTTTGAACGGTCTCGAATTTCGAATATTCGAATTCTTACCTTTTCAACGGACTGCGATCCGAAATATGTACGCGCTATGCGTCTCATTACAGGTTTTTTTTGCTAAACTACCTGACATGCCTATAAGTGAGCGCAACGATGTACTAGAAGTGAAGTTACCAAATAACTGGTCTTCATGGTTCTTCATGCGAACATGCCAGTTATTTTTTTTTCAGGATCCAGTACACATCTGCACCAAGATTCGTAATCGTCTTCTTTCTCAATCTGCTTCAATGTTTATTGGAAACAGAAAAATATCAGTCGATGTACTCTTTGATTTAATTAACAATCAATCGAAACTAATCCATGGATTAGTAAAAACGGATGTTTATCCAAAAGACCGACAAAACTTCGCTTCTTGTGCTAAAATTTCAACCGATGGTGTTTTATCTGCTCTCAATAATGTTTCTGATTCTTATGCCACACAAATTTACTTAGGTCTGTTGCGTAGTATTATAATAGCTCATATTGAAAAAAGTACATCAATTATTGATCGAATATATCATAGTTGGATGACAGTATTCATTTGCCGCCTTTGGTGGGCTTGGTTGCAGTTAACGGATGTGGAAGAAATTTCCACGGAACATCAGGACAAAAATAAAGCTTTTTTCTTTATCACAAAAGCTGCTTATCATTCTATTGAAATCAATGCACACACATTACTATCAGTTGTTCTTCTTGTTTGCCAGCACGATATGTCTCAATCTGCTCAATCTATATCAAGTTTTAATTCACAGGCATGCGAAAATATATTCAGACTAACAAGATCAATGTCTGGGACATTCTCACCAAATGTGAATTTTACTGTCGGACAATTTCTCCGACGAGCTGGTAAACTTTCAGTATTGCAAGATATTGATAGACAAAATGAACATAATCTATCGGAATGTTCTTTACAATTTCCTAAACATCACAAGCGACGTCACAGAAAAGATATGTCAATAAATAATCGTTTAGATGTTTCTAACAACATACTAACACAAAATACGATTGAAAAAACCATCCATCGTGCTTTTGATGATGCTTATAAAATGTTATCTGTACTTTGTATTGATGTAATTTTAGTACGCGAATATCTTAACGCTTTAGATGAACTGAGTACATATGTACGAGTTCAGATTGAAAATACTTCTCATACTACTGATTTTAGTGAAAATTGGAACGGTTATTCTGATGATGAATTAGATTCAAAAGATGATGTTCATGATCAATATGATGTAATTTCGGAAAGTTCTTCTGAGGATGAAGCTGATGAACAAACAAATAACTCTGGTCACAAAAGATCGCAATTTAAAGGATTACGAATCTTCAATGAAATTCCTGCTGCTCAATCGAATTCATACTTTCGTATTAATGTCGATGAAAATGAAAAATATATGCATACGCAAACTGCCAGTTGGCTTCTTACCGATAATAGACCTGCACTATCGGCAAATCAACTTCAACGCGTACAACAGAGAATTCGATAAATTTAATTGAAAAAGAAGATGATAGATTTGAAATAAATGTTGAATATGTAACGTACGAAAAGTGTGACTGGTGTCTGTATTTTTTTTGTTATGTATAAATACTGTATGATATAAATACTGTATGATATAAATACTGTATGATATAAATACTGTATGATATAAATACATGTGAAATTTTGTATGCATTGTATGTTTATGTTTTATTTATGACTGTGTGCCATAAAATTATAACTCGAACGAATTATGTAATAGTTTTTTGTTTATTGCGAACTACTTTTTCTAAATAAAAGGACAAAAATCGAAATTGATTTGCTCGACATAGAAGCCTTTACATGCATCGTATTGGTAGCATCCCAGGTGACCAAAAGACTAGTCTTTTTCTAGACAAGTCGGCCGTCCAGTCTAGTCTTTTTCTCAAAATGTCCTAGTACAGGACTAGTCTGAAATCTCGTATAGTCCATAGTGCCCGTCCGGACTATGAAAGTGACTGGAGTCATTCTATTTGTCATGCGTAGTCTTTTTCGAAAAAAAGTCTAGACATGCTGCACCATCCTGACGCCCGTCAAAAATATGATTCTAAATAAAAGTAAGAGCGACCATGACGCTTTACATGACGAGTTGTGATCTTATATAATGACGAGATCCTGACTAGTCTGAACTGAAATATTTTATGACTACAACTAGATTCGAACACACATACCAACTATTACTTACCCATCGTTCAGACCATTGAGCCATTTGATCGACAGATCAATTTATCAGTATTTCTAGTCATTCTAAAATGCTTTAATATACGAATTTTTTCCAAGTTTTATTCAATTTTTCATATGAATAAAAAATATTTTTTTATAAACTCCAAAATTATTCAGATGAAATTGAATAAAATAAATTGAAAACTGTGGTTATTTTATCTCATGTTTTTGTCTTGTTTTAGTCATTAATTTAGCAATTCACCAGGATAATTTATTCAACAATTTTTTTCCTTCTAATATTTATTTAGATAATTCAGAATTCGGACCGACGGTGTACTTAAAAAATAGAATAATCTTTACAAACATACAACAGTTTATATTAGCCTAGGAACAGTCCTTCTAGCTACCATTAAAGGCATTTTCGGGTAGTGAGAATCAGTTTCCATCAAGTGATTTCTGCACGCATGGTATATGGAAGATACCCATTTGCATTTTAGAATATATGCATAGACATAAGGCTTACTGTATTATGGACTGCCGCCAAGACGCCGGTCTGATTTTTAATAGTACTATAAGTGTCTCTAATGTTGTAATCTAACTTTCTTCCCCTTTTTTTACCATATTTTCCCCTGCTATGGGCTAGGTCAGGTGGGGGTAAATGAATAAACAGACTAGTCTAGACGGATAAAAGGACAAACGGACTAGTCAGAACGATGCTCTGGGATAGCTTGGACCAGTCCAGACGGGTAAAAGGACATACGGACTAGTCACAATATATATGGAAGACGTATTAGACTAGACTTGACGGGTATAGCAGACTTGTTGGACTAGTCATGTCGCCCATCCTCCCTATTTTTTTGCTCACTTGGGTACGATAGCTCTTTTTTTACATATTAGATCGAATTCCTTTAGATGCAAATAACAGAAGTATATCATAAAAACTCGAGAAATAGAGACATGTTAATTTAGAAAAATAGTTCATGATGAGCACCACAAGTAACAACAAAATCTGTCAAGTGCTTACCTTATTCTTGATGGATACACTTTCGATCCTAAGAAATTCAACAGATACAAAATATTTTGTGGTTTTTAGCATAGACTAAAGTTGCCTAGATTTGATTGAAGTTTTTGATAGACTCTTGCAAAATTCAAGTGAAAATAATTTTTATTAATTTTGGTTGTATGCTTTTGGAAAACGTTTCAGAGAATGATTCATCTTAGTGCAGACTGTAACTCAAAACCGTTATCAAGTAAAAAAATAAATAAATACGAGAAAGACTTGGAATAAATACTCCGTCATTCGGCTGCTGCAACTGATAAAGAAAACGGTAAGAAGAGAATACTGTTATAACCCTAAAAATTATTTACCTTGCATTGTGAAATTGACAATTGAATCAAATCATGGCGATGTCAATGGAGTGCAAAATTCCATAGTTAGATTCCCAGAATATGGGAGCAGTTTATTTATTGACAGGTTCTGTTCGATTTCTGTTGTGATCTTAATACGCCTCAGATACACTCTTCTGTACCGAATCGATCATACCATGTGATGTGAAAACTATTTCAATAGCTTAAATGACTGGAATTTCCTGCATCAGTAATGTCGTCGAATTTTTCAGTTAATTTCACTATGCATGAGAATCTAAAGCAGAGTTATTCGGTCCACATCGCAAATATTATACGATCGTTTACCACCTCTCTGGCTAATCTAATAAAATCCTTTCAGTAGAGGGTCAGTGGCGCATACGTCGCATTACTTGTTTTTTTTAACATTTATTTTTATTTTTATGAAGCATATCAAAAACACATGAGATTAGCAAAAGGGGGAATATCCCAACCTGGATATTGTTATTGAATCATTTCTATCATATTATGATAAGTGGTATGACCTTTTATCGATGCGTAGAATGGTGGTAAGTAATAACAACGCTGACAGAGATCAAAATCTGGACATTGGAGACATTTATAGCGACTGTCAACAATTGAATAACCACATACATCACAATACGCAAATGAATAATTAGAAGCCGAATCATTTCTTGGACTGGTAAATGCTATGTTGTCTGATTGAATTATTTTTAGCATTCTGTGATTTTTGTAGTGAACCCCTTTTCGTGTGACAATGTATGGTAAATGATTGCAGTTTTCACAGAGGTCGAAATTTGGACATTCTTGGCAATAGTAACGATTGCCATCACTTATTGATTTACCACATCCATCACAATATGCATCGCGATATATATAATTCGAAGAATCCCTTGAATTTAAAGATGATTGCTGCTGTATCTCTTTATCATACTGGCGACTCTTTTTATTTGTGACAATTTTATCATACGCATGCTTACCTGCTGCAACACCAACACCTTTTAAAAGTGCAGTGCCTAAAAGCCCAACTGCATGCAAAGCCAAAGCCAACACCATAGTTCTACCAAAGTAATGCTTAAATTAGTTGTCTTGCTGAGAGGATTACCTAAACTTTTTTATTATAAATAAGAAATACCGAATCGTTTGGAATACAGATGTCCAAGCAGGTATTTATATACTCGTTACTCACATTCTAATTTGGCATTTTCCATTTAGCACCTACATAATCTCTTACTCTTTGTACATAACGAAGGGAAAAAACAGGCATGCACATAGAAGAAAAAACTAATCATCTTCAACGTGACACGACAGAATGCCATACCTTGGTGTGATCATATAGCGTCATCACATAACGTCACCAAATTTAATTGGGAAAAATATGCATATTCGTTCCGTGTATGTATTTGTTTTTTTCACAATATGAAGCGATCGTTATCAAGTGAAGGCATACATCAGAAAGAATGAAATGTACAATCATGTAAAAAATTGAAATAGGTGATTTCTCACACATTTGCTTTTTCTATGCGATTCACTTTGAACGAAAATTCATTTTTATAACAAGAATACTATTTGTCTCAATGATATAGCATCGAGAAAAATATTGTGAAAAATGAAATGGGCGTGTATGTGAGGGGTGGCAGAATTCTCACAAGAAGAACAACGAGAATTCTGTGTTACTGTGTACACACTCTACCTTGTATAAAAATCAGAGCGTTAGTAACCAGTTATGTTACTGTTAAACACATTAGCAACCGCTGTCGACTATGATAAGATTTATTAAGGACTATCTATCATAGACTAAATAATTACATTAAGCATTGAGTTCAGACTTACTTTTTTTCAGTGCACAGAAATAAACATAGAAATCAATAATCTATAATAAATATTAATTGTGATTATATATCAATGCTTTTACAGAATTCATAAAAAAAATTGTTTTTTAATTTCAGTACACTGAATAAGAAGTAAAAAGACATCAATCGAACTAATAACTATTTAAAATAGTAAAACAATGTTTAAATATCAAATTTGTTCATATCGGTTGTATTTAAAGATAGAAAAATATAAATATCAAATATTTCTTATAAATAGTGTTTTATATTCATAATGGAAAAACAATCGTCGAACTTTAAGTCATGTGTATTTTTAATTAAAAAAACAGTTTTGCCATTCATTTATAGTTTATTAGAATAAGAATAATTCTACGTTTTCATGTATAAAGATGTTTTTCTGAATAGCCAATATATCGTCATAGTTTTTCTTTCTTGCTATTGCCCATTTATTAGCCGTTCCTTTTCTTCTCTTTTTTTTTCTCTGTCGTTCTCTCTCTCTCCATTTTTATTGGGTATATTAACGTGTGCTCTATGTGTAAATGATTCGATTTATGATATAAAGAAGTTACATAGATCGTAGTACCTGAGGGCGTGAGTGTGTTTGATCTCTCCTCACAAACATCCACATCCACACCCTGGCCTATGTGATTCATTTTTATTGTGATCAGACGTCAATTCACCTTGTTATTCATTTCTCTTGACGACGAACTGATAACAATGCTTGTATTTAATCGACCAAAAATAATATAAATGCTGCATGAAGCGATTCATTTTACAGTTTCTGCTTGATGTTATTAAAATCTTGTCTTGCTATACTTTCAAGATACATCTTTTTAAAATAAAGACAGTAACATGGTAGATTGTGATTTCATGTCTTGTTGCTCATGCATGCTTATTTTGTGGGCCATACCTGCAGTTCCTTACACCTACCCGATGATATCTACCTATCAGCTCGAACAATACAAAAGTGAAACGAATCTAAAAAGTAAATGTCGATTGCTCTGAACATCCTCTATCCCAACAACATGCAAGAAGATTATTTTTGATAAGTTAACAGTCTTGTTTTATCGTACAAAGTCTATTCTAGAAAGTAGATACCGCTAGTTTTGTTCTTATACGGTGTGGATTGGGTAGAATATTAAATGAATACCGAAAAGTCAAACACATTTTTACTTCATATGCATATAGGCTTTCGGCGTCTTATGTATTAGTCGACTGACTGATAGTCTCGAATTGATTCAGCTGGCATTTATTTTTATTTAGTTTCAAGCACATTTATGATCTCATACAAAGCTCTTTCTTCTGTTGACTCAGGCAGATGTACTGATAAGAATTCATTATATAACGTTGAGAAATAAAATGCATCTAGATTGACTTTGTTTTACCTTTTATGAGAAGGAGACAGTTTGAAAAGAATAAAAACCAAATAACGATATTTATAGACTCTACTGATATCGGTTAATAGTTCAAAAGTATTTTCTTATTTTTTAAGTGATACCCATCACGCATGCATGTCACGCAGAAGTAATGGTTGTCGTACACGATACTAGAAACATTATTGATCAAAGGGGAAGCATTAATTCAACTGAAAAATATGGGGCGAAAAAACTTCCTTCACCACTTGTACGGTTCAGACATACTGCCGAAAACGACGTAATTTCAAACCATTCACTTTTTTCCAGATGAGTGAAACCTCTGTTTGTTATTACAGTACGGCTGACGAAAGAGTAGCACAATGGGAAAAACCAAATCCAGGAATATGACTTTTGCCGCTGTTGTTATGTGTATTTATGATGCTTTGATAATTATAAGTTGCATTCCTTTGTTTGTTAGGCAATGTAAGCCAATATACAAAAACTACGCAGTATGGCGAACATAATTTTCTAGTTTTAGCATCTTCTTTGCATATGATAGTCCTTGGACACTATGGACATCATCTAGAAAGAACAAATTATCTATAATCATATTCCAAGGTTGAAACAAGTGTCATTTTCGAGTTCAATTACTTTTTCATAATCGAAATAAAAAAAATGTTGGCAATATGACTGCTCAACGAGAAATTCATTCGTTATATTGGATAGCATTGAAGAATTATACACAAGATTATTAACTTAATCTGGCAACAAATGAAGGAGAGAACTTACTTTCCCTTTCAAGATATGCTTACAAACATGAAAGTTAGTCAGTTTTTAAACTAAAAATTACAATTAATTGTCAATGTCAATGCATACCGCCCGTTCAAGTAAATAAGATAGTAGTAGATTTATTTTACGTAATAATTCGAATTAGAAAAATGAAAACATTATGAATCATCTTCTGTTTACAAACATATAAGCGGAATGCTATGGTAACGGTTGCCCTGTTCGTATTGCCTTTCCAACCTCAGATTGACTTTCGTTTCGTAGATACCGCTGATAAGTAACAAAATAGCGCTGCGGATCTAACGACGCTTTAATGACACTGGATCGTTCTTTGATACGTTGTTTATAGTCTGACCAACGTTCACCAACCAATTCGTCGTTGAAGCCTCAATAGTTTTCGAGAATGAACATACGTACTATCCATGATGCTATGGCAACATCTGCCAAAGAAAATTCTTCCCCCAAAAACAAAGGTCCTCGAACTTGATTGGTGTATTTCTTGAGCGAATCAGCTAATTCAACAAGAGCTTCTTTTTGTTTGTCTTCTTCTTGAGCTTGCGTAGTTCGGTAGAATGCAGGTATAATCTTCTTCGTCACATGATCTATCTATAGTAGAATACAGAGGTGTGCGGGGCAGAGAAATTTCGTGCCCCGCGAATTTCCCACACCCGTCCCGCCGATCCGAGCGCAGTTAAATTGCGTAAGCTCCCCCGCCCCGCTCGCCCCCGTACAAACACACACCCGCCTCGCCCGCCCCGTGCACCCAGAGGGCCACATCGCCCCGCCCGCCCGTCGATTTGCTGACGGGGCCCGTCCCGTCCGTATAACCCGAAGAAAATTTATATTTAACAAATTTTTTATTTTAAATTATTTATTGTATATAATTAATTAGATTTTTTAACAAAAAATCTGAGACAAAAGTGTAGGATGGGGTGGTGTCCAATTCCTCCATGTCTCTAATGGCACCCACAGCCTGTTTTATGTAGTATTTCTATATATTATTTGTGTAATTAAATATTTTTATCAGATAAATTGTTCTTTTGTCATTTCCTACAACTTTGATGTAAACAAACTACTGTTATTATAGCGCGAAGATATTCTAAGGTTACCTGATCTCTTGTAGGATTGAAAAAGGTGGTAGTTAGGCGAATTTATAGCTAAAATAATGTGGTAAAACAGAAATATGAGAGAATTGATCTAGTAGCATTTGAAAATCATATTTTGCTGCAGTAAACATATTCATATGTCGTCACTGTGTGATGGCGCCCTCTATTTTTCACTTGTCAGTTTTTCAGGAAAATCTAAAAACATAGTTCAATACAGTATCTTTTTCTCTTACTACTGATATCAATGCTATATCTAGACCGTTCAAAAACTTGCAGAACAATGACGTAACACTTGCTATTGTTTAACTTTTTTCTCACTGCTTTGTCGGCTCCGGGTCTTTACCTAAACGAAAAGGAAAAAAAGAAATGCGTAAAAGGCAAGCTTGTAGATCATAAGATGAAAATAAAGAGTCAATCAATATGTATTTCGTACTACACACCTAGACTAACGACCACTCAATAATTTTTTACGACCCTTCATGGTGCCCCATGAAAAATCTTGACCCGCCCGAACCCGTGTAAATCTATACTCGCCCCACCCGAAACCCGTGCCTTTTATTTTTATTTCACCCGCCCCACTCGCCTGCCAGTGAATCGCTACCCGTAACCCGTCAGCCCCGCAATTTTGTAAAAATTCGCGACCCGCCTCGCCGATCCTGCGGGTCTTACGGGGCCCGTGGGGTCCAACCCGTGGATCGCACACCTCTGATTGGCACTAGCTTGGAATAAACAAGCGCTTGCATACAATTTCATAGTTAGGCAAATTGATTAAAAGCAATAGTATGCATGTGAAGGAATCAAAAGAAATCAAGTCGGGAGCAGCTGACCTAAACGATATCCAGCTAACGCGGGGATTTTGTCGAACTGTTATAGTTGTAAGGCTGGACACTGGCATTGATCAAAAGAAGACGGAGCATTCATATGTTGCGCCACTTCTGCCACATTTCATCGGCAACCTTTTAAGTTTCTCACAGATCAATGAATGCATCGACTTTCTTACTGATATGAATCATCAAAAAGCCGTTCTTATAACCACAGTTTCGATAGGTGAGCAACTAATCCCTTTGATTAATGCTGTTCCACGACTAGCTAACATATATCTGATAAACGACTCCAAAACAATACATGATGACGGGAGCAAGACTTGAGAAAAGGTTCAATACGTTAATACAGACACAACGAATCTCTTTCAACTACTACAATCCGACATAAGACAGAATGACCGAAACGATATTTCACTAAGCATTTTCGCTACCGACGAAGATGGTACCTCCATCGATCTTGATCACATTGATCCGACATTCATGTACGCTCAGTTATTCAAGGAAATTGTGCTTGAGATAAATGAGAACGAACAATCTATGGATCAATTTAAAAAGGAGTATCGACCAGAAACATCCAGTTGGTGGTACACTAAAGAAAGTTTTATCTTCGAGAGTCTGAACTATTCTCTGAGATCCTTGGACACCAAAGTCATGATGACAATGGGTTTCTTCATTGGGAATCTTTATCGACAAATTGTAAAATTACATCAGCAACAGTATCATAACTGTAATGATGTACCGTTTCTAGTTTATTGCGGACAAGGCTTATCAATAGTTGATTTCGACAAACTTCGCCGAAACAAGGGAGGTTTGATAACATTCAACAACTTTCTGTCTACGAGTAAACAGCGAGACATTGCCTTTCTCTTCGCCGAATCTTCCTCAATAATGCATGGCATAATAGGCATCATTTTCGAGATTTGCATTAATCCTAATATGCAAGCGGCTGCATTTGCCAACATCGCAGAAATTAGCAATTTTGGAAATGGAGAAGAAATCCTTTTTTCTATGAACACTGCTTTTCGAGTTGGTTGCATCAATCAAGCAGAAAACCGCGAAAAAATATGGGAAGTAAGGCTTATTCTGACCGATGATAATGATCCACAACTGATCAATCTTACAAAGAAAATGCGAGAGGAAACTGGAGGTCCAAATGGATGGTTTAGAATGGCCTAATTAATGACTACTCTGAAAGAAAAAAAGGAGTTCTGTAGAACCATTTTATGGTTCCGTAGCTCATGTGGAACCATTTTAAGTTCTGTATGACAATACGAAACTATCAACCGTTCTGTCCAACAGTACTGAACGTTTGAAGGCTTCGAGAACAGATTCAAAACCATAAAAAGTTCTGCGTTGAAGAATACTGAATCGAAAGAGTTCTGTACAATGACACTGAACCCATTAAGATTCTGTGAAAAAATACCTAACCATAAAATGTTCTCTAATCAACAGTACGGAATCCGACAGATTCTGTCCCATGATGCTGAACTTTGCAAGGTTCGGCAAAAGAATCCTGAACCATAAAAAGTTCAGTGTGCAATAAGACTGAACCTTGAAAGGTTCTGTCAAAAAATGATCCATTCTAAAAACAAATTCTCTACCCAAAAATACTGAAGTGTAAAATATTTTATCATTTCTGCTCAATTCTTTAGGTTTTCACAGTTCAAATGTGCTGCTATAAAACGCTTTGAGAGACAAAGTATGATGCAAGATATATTTATTATGAAGACTTTTATCAAAATGTAGGCAGAAAATATTTTTTCAAATGTAATTTAAGGTACATTCAGTAGAACTATTTTATTGCATACTTTCTTCTTTCTTTTACTCCATGATACGTTATTGTGCTCTAATGTTCGACTTTTTTCATCGCTCGAGAATGCTTTTTGCACTCAAGCTGTTGAGATTGGGTGAATTTGTTTTCTTCTCAAGTAATTTTACTTTTGGCTGTACATTTTCACCTGTTTGTCATTCCCGTGAAAAGATTGGAACAAATCACCATAGTTTCCTCAACTCCTAGCTAATATATGCTAAATCTGGTAAATAACTAAAAAGGCAAATAATGCTATCATCCATATTTAGTAATCCAACTACTTTGAGATAAATTACGACTATCCTCACATTTCTACGACTCTAAGGGAGCTCCAATAATATTTTTAAGTATCGTGTGCGTCGGCTATATACGATTTATTATCATATTATCGTTGCCTATCGTGTTTGTTCTAAAACACTCGTTAACGTCAAAAAAAGAAACCATTCAATTAAACATTTAACACTATGAAATTATTCAGCCATATCATACGCAATTGATGTGCACACGTGTCGTTGAACTTCACATCTTACAAATAAGATAGAGGATTTAATGGAACCCATATGAATCCAAGGATAAAGTTCTAAACATATACTTTCACGAATACACAAATAATCGTATAGTAATAAGGAAATCCATATAAGGTTATTAATATAATGATATAAATAAAACTGCCAAGATATAAGAATGCAATCGTAAAGGCATGCTGAAAATAAAAGAATTGTAATGGTGTAGATATCAAGACATGAATAACGAGGTATAGCTATAAGATGCAGTATTAAGGCAAAAGAAATAAGGACGTAGCTATAAGACTACTCTCTAAAGCTAACTTGTTTCGTTAAATTTCAAGAAAAAACGATTAAAAATAGCCATAATAATTTTTAAAGGTTGTAGTGATTGAGAACACCACAAACTTCTGGTTTCAGATGATNGGTTGGTGAGCTTTGAAACCTTTTTGGAGTTTCTGATATTGCTCTGTGAAAAAGTATTGTAACTATTTGTTTCAGTTCAGAAGACTTTGAAACACCAATATTCGGAAACTCTGAAAGGTTTTCAGACAGTGACAAAATCGGAAAGGCATTAAAGTTTTCCCGGAAACACACCTTTTTAGAAAATATACAAATAAGGGTATAGTTTAAGGGTAAAGCTGTAAGCGTATAGATATAAGGTATAGATAAGGCTACGTATATAAGAATATCGAAATACGGATACAGAGATAAGGGAAATCTCAACGGTAAACCATTTAAATCATGGAACACCTTATACGTAGGACAGAACCTTTTTTGAAGAAAAATCACATATGGTTTCGTTATTTCTTTACTGAACCTTTTTTCAGTCAGAACCTTTTTCGAGGGTTCTGCGTTTTACCCGATATCAGAACCCTTAAAATGGTTCTGTAAAACTCCTTTTTTTCTTTCAGAGTACCGGCTGGTTCTTACTTGTGAAACAGTTATTGATCAGTTGTGAAATATTGAAGCAAGTTATATGTATGTTGTTTATCAGAATGACTACACCTTTTATAGAGCAATATCTGAATCTATATAATGCAGATTAAGATTATCTCTGATAAAGAATTATACTGCTTTTTATAGTTCAGGTTGTAAAAATAACAGAAGAAAATCATATAATTTCAATGAATAATATTTTTTTCAACCTGAAAACAAAACGAACCCTTTTCCGTCATTTATGTATACTTCCTATGATGAGAGAATATATGCTTTCTCTTGAAAAGTATTGTTTCAATTTCCAGGTAGAAGTTGGAAAAAGATGGATGATAATGGTAGTCTTCCTCTTCTCGCATATTTATACGTTTGACTGAGCACTAGCAAAGCCATAAAGAGAGATTGAACAAATATTAAACTTGCCAGCGTTTATATGATACAGCGTCTGTCTACAGTGAGTGTTAGATATGCCCCAATGCTCTCCAGTCCCTCACTTTTTTCTCTTGATAATCAACCATGACATTTTTACAATTTTCACTTGTTTTTTTAATTTTTGTTGCTGTTAAATATTAAAAATAAATCAGGAAATTTTGATTTTTTTTATACCAAACATAAATGCAAACAACTTAATTTATTCTAGGACATTCTCGAGCTTGAAAAAGAAGGTGTTTTTCGGTCATGAAACTATTAGTGAATGAATTGTGACCATGGTTGTAAATGAATAGAAAATCAATACGCCGACATTTAACTACACTCAGCTTCAGACTTGTATGCACACTTGGAACCACAGTTGAGTTTTAAGTAAAACGCGCATTAACGGGGGTTTGAGTATAAATATGCAATGAACCTCAGATTCATCCAACTGATCATCTTGGCAAAGAAAATTCAACGCTCGAGGATTCTCAAATAGATTCTGAAAGGTGTCATTGTCTTTTTTATGTTTAAAAAGAAGTTCATAAAAAAACAGCATATCAAGATTAATTAAATGAGTACCAACTAAATGTCTCGCTCAAAAAACTTCACTAATAACGACGAATGTGTTCATTTAATTCAGCCTTAGCATCACTAAATGGAAGTGCCTTGCCAACAACACTTGGATACAAAGCTCGATCGTAATAATGTATATAGTCGAAGGCCCATTTTGCTACTTCAAGTTTTCCATCGGAAAATTGGATTAAATCCAGTAATTGTGCAACTTGTGATGGTGATACAATACCAGCTGCTGATATTGTTGTTTTTATTATATCAACTCGATCGTTCGAAAAACCAGTTTCATTCACTGAGTCAACCAAACTGTCGAACGCCATTGAATTCATGATTGTGACGATTTCTAATAGGAAAAAGGCGTGTTTATATAAGAATAGATAATGATAGTTCATATCACAGCAGTTTGTTATATTTGGTCTTACTAACAATTTAGAATTGCAGCACAAAAGAAAGGAAAATGCGATACGCAGCAATAATCTTAGCATTGGTCAACGTTCTCATCGGGTTTATTACACTCAGAGGTCATCCGAAGGCTCCCTCTCTCATGAATTTACCGCTGCTCAAGAATCTATGGATCTGAACTGCATAGACTTTCAAAGTTAGAGGTTGCTAATTTTACTGGGTATAATAGCGAATCTTTTTCAGCTATTGGAGAGAAACACTGCTTACATACCGGCTCTTCCTTGTGAAAAAAAGTGATTGATCAGTTATGAAATACTAAAGCAAGTTATATATATATATTGTTTATCGGGATACCTTGTCGATAAAATTTGAATTAAAAATTACTAAAGGGTATAGAATTATGCTATTGGCTCTTACAATTCAGGAAGTAACAACCAACAGATGAAAATCATAGAATTTTGATGAATAATATTTATTTTCATGCAACCAAAAAGGATTAAATTCGTAGGAACAGTTTTGTTATCATTAAAATCAATAATTGACATTTCGAAAGGTTTTGTTTGAAGATGAATAATGTGACAAGAGAAACTTGGAAGAAACTTGAGATTTAAATAATAATAAAGTATGTATATGATATTTACTGATACTATGTTCTTCGAGTTATCAAAAGACTTAAAAATAAAATCGGAAGTGAGATAAACATCAAGAATGAATGTAAATCAGCTCCAAGAAAAATCAAGACTCATTCCGTTCATGTTTCAGGAGCAATATTTTTTTGTCAATATCTATTTATCTTGGCATTAAACGTGATTCACATAAGAGATCCAAAGTGTCAAAATATTTGCGATTAAGTTGGTTTTTTCATCATGAAAAAAAAGCGAAGATGTTTTCGTCACTTATGCATACTGCCTATGATAAAATAATGGATGCATTCGGACCAACACATTTATAACTCAACAGTGGATCAGAATGTTACAGCCTCCCTCTCGTCGCATACTCATACGTTTGACTGAGTACAAGCAAAGTTTTAAATAAATATTTGAGCAAAAATTAGATTTGCCAGCGCTGATATGATCAAGCGTCTGACTACACTAAAGATCGCATACATCCCAAATACAGACAGTCTAACCTATTCTGAAACATTCTCGAGATCGAAAAAGAAGATGTTGCTCGATCATGAAGCTACCGGTGAATGATTGTACTATTGCTGTTAAATGCGTTGCTGTTTGAAAAAACAAACATTGCTCGTAATATAATGAAATGAATATTTAAATAAGTTGTACTGTATAATGTTTGGCAGATCAACTGGATCCACTAAAAATGCATTGCGTGTGTATATATTACCATATAATGAATCACTATAGGAGCATAAAATAGACGAAAAGAAGGCAACTATATATAGTCAAAATCTTATTGTTTTTTCCCCGTCATTCTTATCATTATATGGCGTCATTTGTTTTTATTGCGTGTACAGTATTGACAACCAAAGAAATTCATGTCTTTTTCCCCAGTGGATTCTGAATAGGGGTGGGCATTTATCTTTATTTTCATTTATACTAAAGGATAAAGATAAATGGATCCTTTATCTTTAGGAAATAAAGGTAAATCAATCATTTATATTTAGAAAATAAGGATAAATAATTTAAAAAAAACTGATCATTTATTTTCTAAAGATAACGGATTCATTTATCCATGAAAAATAAAGTGCTCTGAAAAACACTTCGTTAGGTTTTAGGGTCACATTTTATCTTCATATCCCTTTATTATAAAGGATAAAGGTAAAGAAATCCTTTATCTTTGGAAAATAAAGATAAGTCAATCATTTATCTTTAGAAAATAAAAAAGCTGTTAGCGCAATCCCTGTGGGATTAAAATGTGAAACACGATAAAGCTCGTTTTCTGGAATCCGTCTACCACGGTATGTGGAGCTTCTCTGTCACGGTCTGTATCTGTATTATGGTGTATGAAGTCTCTAGAGACAATCGCAGATCGTTGCACAGACTTCAGAAGCCATCACAGATCGTGACAGAGACCTCAGAAACTATCACAGAGCGGGACAGAGTAATTAATTAATTAATCAGCTAACTAATTAATTAATTTCTCTGTCCCTGCCTGTGAGGGGGGGGGTCCAAATTTCTACCCTATATACTTCAACACTCCTTTCAGATCGTGTTTCACAAAAGGAATATCACTTCTCATTCATGAAAATAAAAAACGAATAGATACTGTCCATTCTATAAAACTGTGGCCATGTTACGCAATATGCTTGCCTTCTATGGTTTGGCTCAATGTGCCGTAGTGACAACTGCTCAATCGGAGAAGAAAATTACCTGGAATGATATTCAAACGAATCTTGGTGGTATTATCCATTGACTGAGTAGAATGAAATTCTAAGTACGTAAGACTTGCTCATGGATGAAACATAGATTATATGATTTCAATGCTTGTTTAGGATACAACAACGGAAAGTGAGAACACGATTAAACGTGATCTCGAAGAGCTTCATGGTATAATGGGAATAGCTTTTCATGAAATGGAAGACAACTAAAAAGAGAAGATTATTTGACTCTGCGTACGTGTGTTTTCGTTATACATGTAGCGTAAAAATCATTGATTCATTCCATCCCCAAATCAACATATTCTTTTGAGTTTGTCGACATGCTTCTCACGCCTCATCAATACCCAAGGCTTATACTACTCTGATTAAACGTGCTTGCCGATTACGTGTCGAATATCTAACCATTGGTGAAGAGATTATCATTCTATTGTACACAATGACAAGAGACTTTTGCTGGAAATTGAACAATGCCGTACAATTGAATCTAGTGAAGAAAATCAAATCGTGATATCTCTCTTTGAAAATTTTCCATACAATCTTGACCAAACTAGCAACTCAGAATTTACATATTTGACTAGGTATTGTAGCCGATTCCAGTAGTAATTTTGCAAGAAGTATTCATATAATATAGTCAATTGCTACCGAGCTTTCATTGTGAATCAAACCTAAGGAGGATCTGGTTGTCGACAATGATCTTCAGTAAACCCACACTCACTCTTAGTATTTTACTCTCACTGGTTTTACGCTGAAAGAATGTTTTTTTGATGGAAATCAGATTTTAAATTAAAGGGATGATGAAAAGAACGAATAATGTGCAATGATGATGATGATGATATGCATTTTTCTGTAACTGCGTAACAGATGGTTTCAATCTCATCATTCATAGATAGATAGCAAAATGAAAAATGTAAAAGAAAGAGAAGAAATATTTATAAGAATAGAAGCAAGTAAAACAATGTGGTCGGTGAATATCGTATTGTTGATGACACTTAGGTAAGTATCAAATAAAAAATGCCAGATAATAATAGGATATTTTTGTGCACTCGCTGGATAATATCCTCTAATGTTCATAGAATGACAGAATCTGGCTGCTGTTTTTAATCTTTCACAGATGTTTTATATTCTTTATGTTTTCATCTACTCATTGCTCCTTAGTTTGTTGGATCAAGTCAAAAGTCAGGCATGCCAAGGTGCCACTCAGTACGATCAATGTTCATCGAACATTGCATGTGGCTGCCTTCCTCTAATGAATATTGACAATAGTAGCATTTGTGTTTTACTTCATGTCAAATGTTCTGATTTAGTATCATGTGCAGAAAATAGCCGAGTATGCTATCGACCTGCTCATCAATGTGTGAGGCATCCACAATGCCATAGTACGCCAGTGTGCTATCCAGAGGCCATGGCTCTTCAAGTGTTATGTCCACCGATACCAGCAACGACGAGTAATAAATCAAAACAAAGAGCTTCTTGTGCTCATCTCTTCATCTTCTAGCACCATCGTCAGTGGTACCCGACGATGGTATTTGTGAAAATGCTATATGGAACATAAATGGGGCCACTGTAGCTGGAGGAAATGGAGAAGGGTCATACACATTGGATGTCCAGCAGCAAGGTCTGAATATTTCATCTGATGTACAAACCTTTTATAGAAGACAAACAAAATACATAACATTGTGGCATAGAAGAAGGTAATCATCAACAAATTACCTTGCTCAATGATTACTTCATCACTGATGATGATCGACGTTTGAAAAGAAGACACATTAGCCAGTCACTGCTGGCCAAATTCAAATTTCTTGCATAGCTTTGCTGTTCCGACCGTCCTTTCTATACGACTTCCTGGGATCTGCATTAAACCAACTCAGTCATCCAGAGGGATTATTTATGGATGGTGATGCTGCTATTTATATTGCGGATACTTGGAATGACCGAGTGGTTAAATGGGAGTTGGCTTGTTCTCATATGTCGTCATTTAATTTGGGGCTGATTTGAGAGCTACTGAAAAATATTTTACTCTAACAGCAAATGAACTACGTTTTTGAATGGTTCAAGTTGGGAGCATCCAGTGGTCGAGTGGTGGCTGGCGGTCACGAAGAAGGTAATCAGACTAACCAGCTAACGTATGTGACAAAAGTTATCGTTGACAAGAATGGAACCATGTTTATTTGTGATCGTGATATCATGCAAGTTAAACGATGGTTTAAAGATGCCAGTCATGGGGAAATACTTATTGCGAATATTTCATGTTGGGGACTGGCGATCGACAACAAAGAAACCTTGTATATTTCTGACTTTGAGCAACATCTTGTAATTACATGGCCTGGGGGCCAGGTAGTAGCTGGTGGAAACGGAGAAGGACATGCGCTTAATCAACTATCAGAACCTAACCATATATTCGTCGATCAGGATCAGTCAGTTTTCGTGACCGATTTCCACAATAACCGTGTGACGAAATGGCCAACCGGTGCCAAAGTAGGCATTGTTGTAGCTGGCGGTAATGGACAAGGGGATGACCTGAATCAGTTGAACGGAATAAAGTATTCAAAAATAATGTGAATTGCTAGACTAGTATCGCATCAATTATTAAATTACGCGAAAGACATAGATGTTGAATTATTCATCCAGAATCAGCGATCGTTGACCGAATGGGCACTATCTATGTAAATGATCATTATAATCACCGCATCATGCGTTGGTTAAAAGGCTCCACATCGGGCAGTATCATTATCGGAGGACAAGGCTCTGGAAATGGAACGACTCAATTATCATATCCAGATGATTTAATATTTGATCGACAAGGAAACATATATGTCTCCGATTATTTCAATCATCGAGTTCAAATGTTCACTGTTGACAAAAGTACTTGTGTCAAAGGTCAGTTTTCAACTAGTACTATTAATTGAATGATCAACGCTCCTTTTTAATCTTCTTCATAGTATCGACATAACTCAAAGCTCACGGCTGCTAAACAATAGGAAATGACGAAAACATCAGTCACTTTGCTATCGATTCAATCTCATTCTTTTTATTTACAGGAAAGATAAATAAATTTCGCACAGTGGACAATATAATCGAATACACAATCTATACGATGAGGGTGCATAAGTATGGTATGTCGGCATTGGTGCATAGCTGAATCACTGTGAAATTGAGTGTGGGTTGGAGTGGTGTGAAAAACCAATACCATACCGACAATAGCACCCTATGCTGTTTTACTTAGGACATACCAAAAGTAATGATGCCGATACTGTAACAGTTTACAAAGGGGTAGAGGACATAGATGGAACAGGTCTACCGGTAAAATGCCAGTCTACTTGTAAAATATCGATCTACCGACAATGGATCAGTTGTCAAAATCAAATACTGCTTGAAAAGTACTATATTTTTCCATCAAAAACAGCTCTGCATTAATGTTTATGATGAAAACAGGAACATGGAAAAGTAAGACCGGCATACCGGTCGGTCTAAAGTTCGGACCGGTACCGGTTCCATCTATGGTCTCATTCATCGCTTTCTGAAGTCTACTAAATAACCAGGGTGATTTTGATGGTGCTACCGTTTTTTTTTCACAGTGCAGAAATGGCAATCGAAATGCTTGATGTTTATCATCCGTCTTGGGATAAAATTTACACACTTCAAACAGGATCAGCATATTACAATAAAAACCAACTTGATAAGGCTCTAACATACTACCAAATGAGCTCGGAACTAACAATGATAGTCGTTTCTGGTAATCTAAAGCAAATTGAATGGATAAGATGTGGCATTGATAGTATCATGAATCACACTTCTGATGTAAATTAATCGATCCTATCAAAATTATTCAGAATGACTGATGCATGGTATAATTATTTGAATTTTTGTAAAACATAAGAATCAACAAACAAGCCGAAAATTTTACTGCAAGGGTGTGGATGTGGGTTTATTCAGCTATTTTTTTTGAGATGACAATTATTTCAAAAGTATGTTTATCTTTAACCTATCTCGCTTTATTTTGATTCTTTTCTTTTTTAAACACTCAGAAAACGAAATGGCGAGCTAGGCCATATTTTGAATGGTTGAAGAATGAAAACAAATGTGTTATTATATAATGCGTGCTTCACATATATCTGCAATATAGCATCAAAGAATTTATAAGAAAAAATGATGTATCATACTGCCTATAGATACATTGTATTTTCTATACACATTTATTTCCTATTTTTGACGATTAAAAATGGTGCAGTAACATCAATGGAATTAACTGAACCAAAGTCAATTATTTTCAAGGGAGATATAATTGATCAATTTATTCAAAAAGAAATTGAACACGGTTTTCCTGGTGCTGCTCTTGTTGTAACACGTTACGGTAAGATATTCAAACAAGTTGCGTATGGTTACAAATTAAAATATAATGAAAATGGAACATTTATCAAACAACCAGAGCTATTGACATTAGAAACTATGTTTGATCTGGCATCATTAACTAAAATGTATGCAACCAATTTTGCGATTATGCATTTGGTTGAGCAGGGAGTACTGAATGTTGATGATCCAGTTAAAAAATATATTCCTCAATATAGTGGATGTAATCCTAAAAACGAATGTCGTGAGGCAAGATTCATAAAAGATCTACTGACACATACGGCTGAATATGCTCCAAGCGTGGAATTTTACGATCCACGACGAGTTCCACCAAGCTTTTTCTCACAAGATAAGAATACAACCGAAGAAGTTCTCGAAACAAAATTGGGATTTCAACGACCAAGAGGTGGCGATTAATTACCAGTTTATTCAGATATTGATTTTATGCTATTGGGTCTAGTTGTGGAACATATAACTGGGCTTTCACTTGATCAGTATGTCAAGAGGAACATTTATCAACCATTAGGTCTAACGCATACATTATTTAATCCTATGTATAATACAAGTTATCAAAAATCAGATTTTGCTGCAACTGAAATAAATGGTAATACACGAAATCATTCAATTAACTTTCCGAATGTACGTACACATGTATTACAAGGTGAAGCCCATGATGAAAAATCATTTTACTCAATGAATGGTCTATCTGGACATGCGGGTTTATTTTCAAATTTAAATGACATGATGATTCTAACTCAAATTATGCTAAATAAGGGTCAATATGGAAATCTTACATTTTGGAGTCAAAAAGTACAAGACCTATTTCTAACACCATATCCATATGATGTAACATTTGGATTAGGATGGCGCTTAAATCGTAACAAATCTTTACCGTGGTTCGGTCTCTATACATTCGATCAGGCATTTGATCATGAAGGCTGGACAGGAACATGTACTGTTATTGACCCGAAATATTCAATAGCCATTATTTTATTAACTAATAAACGACATTCGTTATATATCAATGGAACTTTTGACGGTGAAAAGTTCGAGACAGGAAAATATGGTAAAATAATGACATTGGTCTATGAAGCTTTAGGTGTCTAACATGAGCTGTTGAATTGAGAAATCATTTAAAATAGAACATTTTAAAGTTGATAGCAACTTTCAAAGCATGCTTTAACAACTAGTTATTTAATGATCTTGAAAATTAGCAGAAAAAAGTAAAGACCTTGAAAATTATACGAGATCGTTTTCGATGGTTATGCTGTTTGAGGGTGTGATGTGGGTAGTGAGTATCGGTTGGGAAACAGAGGAAAGCCACACATTGGCCGACAAGTAATCAGATATTGTATGTGATGGCATTATTTTTAAATCTGAAGTTGATGTTGATACAATTCGATCCGCGGTTTCACGAGAAATCATAATATGACCTTGGATATTAATTTTGACCTTGTTTTAGTGAATTAGTCTTTCAAAAACTGTTTGTCAAAATTATGCCTAAAATTCTTTTTTTTTATCTGCTTAAAGTGTTTTGAGTCTATCTTGCCCAAAACAGAAGCTTTGCACATCGTTTTTTTTACTAGAATATTTACACTCAAAAGCCCTACAAATGCTGAAAATTTCATTGAATTCTATAATCATGTTGTTATGCACGCCTGGACCCCAAGGATACCCTATAAAATAAATTAATCTTTTTACCCCACCTTTTTTCAACAATTTTTAAGAAGCGAGCTGATCCAGATATAGTGGTTAAGAGGTTACTGCTAATACTTCACTATCCTAATTATAATCCTATATGCTCCGGAATTCTGCGTTTGTGAGAAATCATGATCAGGAAATGCGATTTTTCCCTATGAGGATTAGGGAGTAATCGAGTTTATGGTCTCATCTGCCAATGCAATCACTTTGAGCATATGAATTTGATGTAGTTATATAGGCACTAGATAAATGTATAGAACGACACTATTATCAGTGGTTAATCACCATTCTTTGATGTTGAATGGAATACCCCAAATTTAACTATTATTGCACTATATACACTTTTTGAATAATATCATGCTGACTAAATCAATATAGAAAATTCTCAATTTCTTTTTTGATTTTCTATATTGGAGATAAATGCACATGCAGTTTTAAGTTTAACTTTTTCTTTTTTCTGCCTTGATCAAATGGAAAAGGGCGTGGGTATGGAGTGTGGGTCTGGAAGTGTAGAATGTAGGTATGTGAACAATTAAAACACCCATACCCTCACGCCCCCATAATTCGCGAATTATAATTAGCTATCAATTAGTCGCTTGATCTTGTTATAGGTTATCACATATATAGTTTTTTCTTTTTGTATTGTTATTCCTGATGATGGCAGATGAAATCGGTCGAAAGCTTGAATAAATAAATGTGATTTTTGATAAAAATCTAATAATGTTCTTCGTAGCAGTTTTGTATTCATTATTTTCTCATTTATATGTTACTGCCTCCAACCTAATTATTTCGCAGATTGAACTTGTCTTTTCGTTAAGAGATAGGGCCAATCTGTTTCTATTTGTTATGAAATTAAACTTCATTTTCAATAGACTTTGCATGTGATGCCCAAACATGATGATAAGCGTGATTTGAGAGACATATTGTGAATTACTCTTATCATCTTTAACTTTTTAGTCTGGAAAATGTTAGAGGTAACATTGCTACCTAAATGACGCCCAGAATCTGACATCAGAGTTGATTTTTCAAAATGATAGTTATACAACGTATGTGATGATGCAGCCTTCATACTCATTCGATGAGTAATCATTAAAATAGATAAGAGATTTTCATATCAGCCCATGTTGCAGGTCAGTATTGCTCATTCGCGCAATCTCTCATCAACCCAACTCGTAAAAAGAGTGAGAAAAAAACGAAAGTTCATTGGATAATATTCTCATAGCATCATAAAAACAAATATTTTTGAAACAACTCATTCATATTTATAGCGCACATTTACCAGTAGATAAACACAAACATCGACATTCTTGTCCAACTGATATGTACACACATATCGTGTGGTTTTCTTTTTTTTCTTTTGTCATTTTATCGGCGGATGTTGTGCAACAGCTCAATGCTATCAGCAGTCCTATTCCACCATACACCAATTACACATATGCCACGGAACTGCAACCCAATCTTGCTGATCTCTGGTGGTCGATCGACGATCTTCGAAAGGAGATCACTTTTGAATTTCACATTAATACAACTGGTTGGATTGCACTTGGTATCAGCCCAGGTATGATAACATTGATTCTCAACCTGATCTCTCTCATCTCTCATACATAGCTGGTGGTATGATTGGTGCGGATATCGGCTTGGGATGGATCGATCAATCGGGTCAACTGCATTTTGAAGTAGATATTCTTCTTCTTTCATTCTTTCATTCATCACTTGATCAATAGGATCGATATGCATACGGCTTTTACCAGCCCATGGTGGATAATACAACACAAGATTGGTTTGGATTGCAAGGCCGTGAAGTGAACGGATGGACAGCCATTCAGTTCAAAAGGCTCTTAGACACCTGTGATATCATGGATTATCCTATCAAAGTATGCCTCTTTTAATACATGTTTAAGATAAAATTTATATTGTATAGTCCGGAACCAACATTGTGATCTATGCCTACAGTCTTGAAGATCCTGTTATAATTGATGGAAAAGCGACGATCAGGTATCATGGGGATCGTCGATATACTCGAGCGATTCCATTGCAATCATATGCAAATCCACCACCAGAGAGTAAATTTTCTGGTCTCGACTATTTCGATTTTCAACTGCGCAATGTAAGTCATATGATGTGCACCGAGAGCAATCGTAGTAATGGTCTGCATTGATGCTTTTCAGTATTCAGTACCACCGAACGAGACGACCTATCACTGTACGGTGTACAAAATTCCAGCTAGATTTCCTAAACGAAGACATGCTGTTGCTGTAAGAAAGATCGATCCTATCATCTCACTCAATGTCTAACTCGTGTTGCTTTTTAGCATAAAACCATCATTGATCCAGCCAATATCGATATTGTTCATCATATGCTGATGTACGAATGCAATCCATCAGCTGTCTTCGATGATAAGAGTTTGCCTTCTGGTATATGTGATGATCTTGGGGAAGCTCTTATACCTTGTTCATCGAATATCGCCACTGGGTGGGCTGTTGGTGGAGATTATGTCAGTTTTGAATTAAAAGAAAAGACTTCTTATTGAAACAAAGAATGTTCTTTTGATAATAGATCAATGAGTTCCCTGAAGTGGCTGGATATCCTGTTGGAGGCGATTTTGAAATCAAATATTATGTGATTCAAATGCATTATAACAACATACATCAAATGTCAAGTAAAGCAATAATTCTAATTGAGGTTGAAAAAATTGAAATCGTCTAGTGAATTAGATCGCACGGATAGCTCTGGTATGCGATTCTATCTGGGCAATCAACTTCGCCAATATGATATCGGCTATCTGACATTGGGTCAAGATTCAGATGCCACTGCTATTGCCATTCCGCCTCACGATGATCGTTTAGTCATCGATTCTTATTGTCCTACTCTGGTCACTCAAGTGAGTAATTTATAATTCGATTCAGCTCAATTTGATTTCTTCTATCTATAGAATATTCCACCGACGGGCATTACTGTGGTTGCAGCATTTCCACACACTCATCTTCAAGGTACTTGAAAACGAGTAATTCTCTTACAAGAGCTAACATTCTCGCTTCTAGGACGCACTGTCTGGACCAAGATCGTTCGAAATAATAAAGCTGTTCAATATCTGTTCAATGCTGATGCCTATACTTTCAATTATCAATTTCAGAATCGTTTACCTCAGCCGATTACATTGTATCCGGTTTGTACTATCTAACCTTGTCTCAGTCGTTCAACAATGAAGATAATTCTAGGGTGATGAATTAGCAACGCGATGTATCTACAGTACAACCAACAAGAGTGACGTCACTTTGGTAAGTGATTATTCATGAAATTTTCAAAAGCTAGGCACAGTAATGATCCAGGGTGGAGAAGCAACGAGAAACGAAATGTGTTTACACATGTTTACTTACTATCCACGTATGAACAATTTACACGTTTGTTCGATGACCAATTCGAGGGAAGCATGGGCACAAGTGACAAACAATTCAATGTCAGTGAAGCTTTCATTTATGTCAGAATGACATATTTCTGTTTTTTAGACCTTTGGATTACAATAGCATTGTCAAATGGTTAACAGATCGTCAATGGACAACACAATCCATTGTTGATTGGCAAACTTTCTACAATTCGATTTCGAAAACTCTTATTTATGACAATGGTGATAAAATAATCGTGGTTGATCTTCCCAAACTACCGACCTATGAAGATTTCGAACCATACCAATGCAAAAAGAACGCCACTGATGCTGGTACATCTTCGAGACCGTTCGAACTTCACCGACTGCTTAAAATGATGAAAATGATTCCCTAATTTAAATAAAACAATTTTAGATATCGGACATTGAAACACATGCTGTATGGAAACTAATTCAGTCTTCTTATTTGTATTTCTGTCCAGTGAGCAGGACAAAAGACAGCAATAGTTCGGTAATGAAAAACATCGCATGTGAGATCGTAAAATTACCTTCTGACGACCATAGTGAACACTCTAAAAAAATGTTTCTTTTTAGAGTGTAGAGCTTATCGATGGCCAGGAATTCGAATCCGAAGGTTTTTTTCAATCAGCTTTCATTGGTTCGGATCTGAACCAATAAAAAGTTGGATTATATTCCGCCACTGAAGAGAGTCTGAAACTAAGTAAAATACGTCTGTTTGCTGCCTTTTTTTCTTGGCTGTAGCAGAGATCAGTCGTCGCTGGTACCCTGTCTACTTCTAATGAATTTGCTGTAAGAAGAGCATTGTACGAGCCAAGTTGGATGATAATGCTGTTTTTTTTCTGGGAAGAAAATAATGTAAAATTAGACGACTGTTTTACGTACTGAACACGCGACATTTATTTACTTCAGTATGCCGTCATTTACAGATATGAAATAATCAATAATAGAAGTTGTGTGTCATGAAATCAGCGGGCTTTCAGCTTGCGGGAGACTGGCATATATTGGCGATCGTAAAAATGTCGAAGGAAGAAAATGTGGAGAAAATAGTTTTGATATTGAAATTAGTCAGAAAACGTTAAAGATAGTTATGAGAAGCAAAGAACATGTCTTATCATATATGTTAGTGTTAGCATTCTAACAGTGATCGAAGTTAGGTATTGACGAAAAACAGCGAATGATGTGATCGTTTTTTTCCTTAAAAACTGTAACTAATAAGCCATCTAAATATTCCATAACATTTGCAGAATCGTCATCATATTGTTCATCAAAATTAGCTATTCGACTGTGAATAGAAATTATTTCAGCTTGTTTTGGTCTAGCCCCTACACATGCAATAAACTGAACTTAGACATCCGCTCACACAAGTGACACCCTTAAGTGTACGCTACGAAGATGATGACAGATACCTTTACTATCATTAAAACGTGATTGGAGCATCATGGTGAAACAGCTATGAATCTTTAGAGTGGTCATTCGGAGGAGAATTGATAAGTAGTAAAGTTTAAAATAAGAGATAAAGGCCGATTGCCAAATTTGATGTTGAATTTTGTTGCATTGCATTACAAACGAAAAGAATCAGATCTTCTCGTGTCGTAGGATGGTAACGGTTAACTAGATTTTATGGTTTTTGGCGGTATGCGTCATAATTGTTCTTTTCTAAAATGCCCCCGCATAAATGTCGCAGAAAAAATATCTTGAATAAATTGTCCTGGTAGAATATCTCCTTGGAGGAAAATATCTTTTGGGGGAAAATGTCCTTACAGGCGCCGTCCTAACTTTCAAACTCCATAAATTCAAATTTTTAAGGACATTTTTAACAGGACCTTTTGGCACAAAGACATTTTGCGATCGGAACATTTTACCCAAGACGTTTATATGGGGACATTTTTGAAAAGACACTTTGTTAGGGATGAATATGGCGTAATTCGATTTTGACTGAGTGCATGTACTTTCTCTGGGTGTTCTCGGCGTAGAATGCCTAAAGCAATGACAGAGCATGGCTATATTGTAAAAAAATAAATTTCAGAAAAATAAATCCTTTAAAAGTATTTATGAAGATTTTCACATATGGAAAAATTGAGAAACATAGTTCATTATGCGTTACACTTTCACGAAACCTCCAAACAGTTTATTATTGTGTACCTTTTTTTTACAGTGTAACCAATTTACAGTCGAGGGTTAAGCGAGGTGCACCACCGAGCATTACTTGTTATAAAGTCTTTAAAAATACATATCAACTGAGTACATTCAATTTTCAATAATAACTTGCATGTTACATTAAAAATGAATTACCTATATCTTCTGTATTTATTCTAATTTGTGTATCTGAATAATTGCACAGCTTAAGTCAATATTGAGTCAGAAAACTTATGAGAATACGTGTAACGCTAAAATTCAGAGTGTGCGGGTAGTTGTAGATATGAAATGGAGATAAGTGTCTGACATCTAGTTACTGTGTGTATACATAGGCGTTGGAGAAGAGAAGAACACATCCGAACACTGCACACTCACCTGTAACGAATTTCTGGATGTGGATATAGGTTTTCTTTTCAGTAACACCATTACCCACACGCTCACTCACAAGATGAAATATTTTCATGTATTTTAATAGTTTTGTCAATATAATTTTATTTTTAGAGGTATCATGTCAAGTGGAAACTAGTGCACGTCTTCGTCAACGAGAAGCTTTAAATTGAAATATCATGACTCCGCGCTCTCTTAGAATTATTATTCTTTCATTGTCTTATTGAATAGATGTTCAATCAGACTTCAAAAATTTTAATTCTAGCCGAATATATCAACAACAAGCAATGGTATACTCAAATTAATATTATATAAGCAGAATCAACAGTAGTTTAATATTAAGTGACTATGACTATTGCACAAGGGGGAAAAAGCGAACTTCTGTACTTCTGTTAACTTCAACCTTAGGTTAAGATTTTTGTTTTTATTTTACTTGAAACTTTATATTATAATATTTATCTTTTTCCGGCGATTAAAATTAAAGTGTGAAGGACATACATAAAATCAAGTTCTGTAGAACAAAGGAGGAAATCAAATCAAAACGAAGACAACATATAGCAAGCGAAAAGAACTGAAAATATTCCAGGTCATTATCAACCAGTCGGTTCTTATCGGACGGGTTATAATTCCGATGTAACATGGTGACCGGATTCGGTCGGCTACTTTCTGATGAATTCCGATGATTTTCTTTGTTTTCTTCTGAAATCTGGTTACCGAATTCTCCGAGAACCGACCAGATTTACATTGCCGGAAAATATCAGGTCAGATGATACGATTGGACCGTATACGAAGTGATCCGACAATATCCGGTAACGAAACTTTACCGAAATCCGCCGTGCCGCATGACGCTCGATTTCATGGTAGATCCGGCTTAATTAGTATCACCAGATGCTAAAGGAAGATCTTGTGATCCATTCCGACCCTTAGTTAACAGCTCGTCCAAGCGATGAAAAGCATGAATTAAAAAGTATGGTTCATCCACTAGCTTATTTATGAAAAATCAATCCACACGAGCAACATGATTATGTATTTATTGATGCTGAGCGAAGTTATCAATCCGAATGAATCCCACTCAAGTCGCTTATCATAACTCCAGCTAATATAACCTAATTCTACGATCGACTCCTGGCCTAACCCAAAATCCACATCAATTAATGATTACCCAGGGCAAGATAAACTTGCTATATATTCATACTATGTTGTTCGTCCATGCAACTCAACAAAATTAAAAACACATTACACACGTGTTTATTCGGTCTGACAAAACCGAAAGCATCATTTCAAATCACCAACAAACACTTTTGCGGAAGCTCGAATGTTGCTTACACATAATATTAAAAATTCCATATGCCATTAGATCGTTTTCGGACGTCACTCAGAAACCTGTTTCATGAAGAAAAGCTACGTTCGAACTATCGACAATGTCTATTTGAGTGATTCTATACGACTGATACAATATTTTGATTGGGGCAAAATAATGCGTGGAGCGATTGTTCTTTAATATTAATGCAGCAAGATAACTCTTTTAAGAGGTTCAGAATCTTATTAGGTGACGGATAAGTGAGTGGTTATGGTCCAGAATGATAGTACGATGTATTTTCAATGATGAATGCAATTTTACGGTGGGTGAAAAATGATTGATGTAGCGGTGTTTTTAAGAATTGAAATTGTACAAGATGGCCCGCGAAACGTGTTTACAATTTTGTTTAATGAATAAGAAGTATGGTAGCATGGTTCTGCATTATTTTAAGCGTGTTTATTGTTAGCCGAGCTATTGATTGATTCGTGTTGCAATGTTGTTCAAGGTGGCTGCTATTGGTGGAAATCCTTATTGTGCAGTCTCTCTTGGTGATATTATGGCTATGTGGGATTATTTATGAGGCGTAGCTTTGTCGGTTGGTACGCGTCTTCGGAAGACTACAGATTATTCACCTTTTGATTGAGGAATGCTTGTATGAGGACCTGGTCATCGGAATCTGATGGAATCCGGTCAAAGTTGTTGTGAAGCCCTTAGGAACCCGACATCATCCGGTAGTCGGGTCGATTGGTTTCGACAATGTTCGGTTGTACTATCCGGCAGGAAACGACCGGACCATTTGCCTTTGAATTCCGGGAGCAGATGTTCCGGCAAAATCCCTGCCGGATCCTGGCAGATTTCAGTGGTAAACATGCTGGCTTCTGGAGTGACCCGGTGCCGGTCCCGATGGGTTCCGCAGGATCTGGAGGCAGGATCGAGTGCCTTTGGTATTTTATTTATATATAAATATAATTCTACTTTTCTTTCCTATTTATAAGCATAGTATTAAAAGAAACTTCATGATTACGAAAAATTATATAATATGTATCATGCTTGAATTTGAATGGATCATGTAAAATACTAGCATCGAACATCATAAAACAATGAGAGAGAAAAAAGAATAATGAAAAGAGCAAAATATAGAAAATGCAATGATAGTGAAATATAAATTGAATTACTTCTACAAGTAGCTTAAATAGATTCTGCAGTGTACAATGTAAACCACCTGTTGATTTCTAGATCTTAGCCGAAAAATAAATTGAAAGTGTAAAAATGACTTAAGATCTCGTACATATGGAAACTAGTGAAAAGTATGTTTCGTTTTCTTCAAACAACTTAGACGTCACTTTGATTGTAGTAGTTATCTCGTAACTTTGCATTTGTCGTTTTGTAAGTTTTCCTAGGGACATTTGGTGATTCACCTGGCTCTTGATTGCTTGTGGACGTCGATGATATTAACGGCTGTTCTTCGGAAGAAGCTGAACCTCGGTTCGAAATTTGGGAATCACTTCGATCACGCTCCGATTTATATACTGATCTTTGCTCAGTTGCTTCTCTTCTATTTGTCAGATTTGTTGTATGTTGTTGACTATTACTGGGTCCATACTGCAAATTAGCAGATATAGGCAACGAAAGATCTTTGGGTGTAGAAATGATATCTCGTCGGTTGTAAAGTGATGATACTACTGACGATGCGTCATCATTCTCAGTAGTAGCAGGTTCTTCTCCCGCAAGTGAATCATAAGCATCTTCCGCTGTTTCTTTAGATACTGTATCATGGTCACTTATATCTGAATCATCATCCATCTTCTTTGGGTCAACTGGATCGCATTGTACTCCTATTGACCTTTTAATAATTTCTTTCATTGGGATGGACTCCAGTTCAGGTCGAGCTGGTTGTCTATATGTTTTTTCCATATGTAAGTAAGACACATATGCCATGTATGCACTATCTAAATTAAATTATCTCAATGAAGTTTCGGTGAACTAATACAGAGTGTTCAGTGCTTTAGTTCATGCCATCTTGTTTTATAAAAAAAAGACAAAAGCAGAATGCATAAGCGCTTATCTTATGATTTTTTTCCGAATCAGCAGGTAGCTTACTGACTATTCTTCGAATTTTAACTTCTCAATTTGTGCTTAAAGGATTGATTCCTTTGTTTTTAATTAATACTATCAAAATTTCCTTTATCACACTTGATCATTTTCTCTCATCCATACATTTATATATGTCAACAACCAATCTCGGGTTGGCGTAGTTCAATCTCGGATCGATGTCATTATGTTCATTAAAAGGATTTATTAAAATTATGTCCACGTGATATCAATTTGTTTGGCGCAGTTGTCGTTGCAAAGATTCAGGGAAAGATTTAGGAGCTATGAGTAAATTCTTCAGAACGACAACTTTTATAAAAAAATTGTTATTAAGGTTTTGAGTTTAAATTAAGTTTCTATGCAAATACTTACTGCATTTAATAGGATCTTATACAAACATAATTTCAAAACTCCATTCGACGCTGACGTCTATTTAACAAGTTATTAACATTTTATTAAGCAGAATTGCGTCGATCCGAGATTGGACGCTGACATATAGATAGTAGCCAACAAATGTAGAAAGTGGTATTCGTTGTTTAAATGATAAATGCAGTAGCAATACGATTCATTATGCATTCAGAAGGATGAAGAAAATTAATTTGTCAATACAGATCTAACTGTTCAAAATCTTACCATATTCCTCCCAGTGACGTCCAAAACAGCTGCAGTCAAATCGAGGCATCAGTAGAATATTGAGTAAAACTCCTTTGATCAAACGAAAAATAGGAGAAAAAACGGTGATGTAACAATCTAGCAATACGTATATGTCATATTATTTACTTTTTACTAGAACTTATGAAAAACAGCTTACTGGTGACAAGTGTTAAATAAACTAGAATTGTATATACATCCTTATTCCATGTACTGGATTCGTTTTCAGATTGATGGGAAGTACTGAATATGCAGACCCATTTTGTAATCCAATGTTTCAATGTATATAAAGCTAATACGGGTGCAATGAATGCCACTGAGGAAAACATTAAGTCACGACGATGTGTTTGAAGTGTAAAAGCGTGAAATAAGAAAAGACTGCATATGCTGACGATTATTAAAATAATATGGAACCAAATATAATAACCACCCACTACGCTGGAGAAAACAACACCAATATATTCAACAGATTTGGGAGCTATTGAATTTTCTTCTAATTTAGACTTTGATAAGATTTCTTCATAATTGTCTTTTTTCAATTGTTCCGTATGGTCCTTATATTTCATTATTCCCTTGACTAATTGAATAATGAAGATGATCATTGTAAGAATAGCACTAAGAAAAAACTCCTTTTCAAATGACCATTCATCGATTTCTAAAAGTCGATGCCATCGATTATTTGAATAAAAGCAAAAGTGAACTTACCAATATTTAAAGTATGTTCCAAACAAAATATTAAGAAGGACATGGAGCTTGTTTCCATAATTGGTTGAAAAGCAAAGATACATGTCAAATAGAAAACCAGAACAAAAGCTATCGTATATGCACACGTAGACATGGTGGTGAATCCAAAAGTTTTATCCCATCGATTGAGTTTATCGAGTATCCCACATATAGATGAGCATATTGTTGAGGATGCATTGTTTTCCTGTACTGAATCTGATGACTCACTGCTTTTCGAATGCATGCCAAATCCAATACCTGGAGTAATTACCTCTTCGGGCTTTTCATTAATTTTCTTCGAACAAAATATTCCATCATAAAAAAAACGAACGGCAAGTTCTGCCCCAATGTACGAAAGTAATATGAACTGAGGTGCACTTTTAAGTAATCCATAAATAATCACCCAATTTCCAAGTTCCTAAATGATGGTTTTTGAGTGTTTTCAATTGAATCTTCTAAACAAAGTATATGACATACCAATCGGCGTTTCGCTTCATCTAATAATGATATTTTTTCCGACTTTGGTAAGAAATTCATGCATAAACATCGACGAATGATAATGTATATAATATTGACCATCATATAGATAAAAGCAAGAAGACGAATGCAGCGACTTCGATGTTGTAACGAAATAAATATTGGATAATAACGAATACTAAATATAAATAAAGTTTATCACGAGATAATAAAGGAATATCAAACTGACCTATATACCAAAGGAATTAAAACACGATCTAAAAACTGCTCGAGTACACCTCGATTCCATAGTTCACTTATATCAATTAATACATTTTCGAGAGCCATCAGCACTTCGATCATAACTATACCAACAAGGGCAGCAGTCTCCTTTCGATTGTTTATTGCGAAAGGTTCAATTGGTGATAAACAGCCTTCAAAATTATATTTGAATATCTAATCATTAATTAAATCATGTAATAAACATACCATTTTGCCGATTTTTTTTCGATTTACTTAAAACGATAAAAATAACACAAAGTATTGTAGAAATCGGTATGAAGATGTGATTGTCAAGTCGAAAAAAACAATTATGTTCACATTGTGTCGTCATTCGAATAGCATGAGTGATTAACGAGTCAAAGTTCGATTGATCAACATTATCAAATCGAAATGATCTCAATTGATAGATAGTTGGAATAATGAATAGAAGGCAGAGAATGACGATATCTAAGATAAAAACATATGCCAATCGAGGGACGTGGTTTTCTTGAGTTTCACTAAAAATAATGAGATTTTAAAGATAGCTATACATTAGTTGACCATTGATGTCAAATACGATATATTTTTTTCTCTTATTACTACGCTCCAATATTTCAATCACATTGAGAGTGTATAGTACTCATTCGATTAATATGACAATCAATGGCACGTCTATTTACTACACTAAAAGAAAGATTTTTTTAAAGACATAAACGTGTTCATACCGGGGGTCGCAACGGTCCAACTTTTCATGGACCGACCCGACCCGTTGCGACCCGTCAGCTAGATGAGCCCGCCCGGACCGACACATTAACCACAACGGCCCGGTCCGACCCGATCCGTTGATTTGTCTGGACCGACCGGACCGGACCAATATAATCCGATGAGCTATCTTTTAATCATATTTGAGGTTAATAAGATTGAAACTTAATGCAGTATTTAGAAAAAGTTACCTACACGTACACAGTATGACTTTGATTTCTTAATAAATTTCATAAGATCACATAATTCATATGATAACAAAAAATATCATAAGTAACGGATGCATCGGCAAAAATGACGGTCTCAGTTTTTCTTCAATATTTCTTTCAGCTTTCATAGTTTCGGACTGACTTTTTTACCCAAAGATTCAGCCTTGAATACTCTACAAAACCATAAAAAATGAATCGAATGGAGATAGAAACAAAAAATTATTGCAGTAATACTAAAAACAAGTAACATCAACAACTTCAGAGCACGAACTACAACTTCTTGTATTTATGTGTTCTCATATCGAGCTATAAAGGTAAATTGAACTACCGATTGTGTAGAGCTTCAAAAGGCCTATCTTATTAGCATGCTGAAATAATTCCATAATCAAAACATGCTGGATAAAATAAGTATTACTTTTTCTTTAAATTTTCTAAAAAACGCGTTTTTACCAATAATTTTTCGTTTTCTTGAAAAATTCATGTTGGACCACCAAGTACTATTTTTTGGTGAAAACTTTGTGTCTTTTTTTAAAGGCACAGACTGGCACTATGGAATATCATGGAGTTATACATTAATTCTGCAGAAATATCACTTCCTATCGACTAGATTCAA